AAGAAAAGCTCAACAGAAGCATGTTCACCTGTAACACCAGTCTCAGCAAAATGAGACCGAAAGTACGGAGCTGACACAGAGTCCCTGTGAATGTTAGTGAGGCGTGGTCTCTGGTCTCCTCTGTTCTCTGTAGAAATGTAAAATTTTCCTGTTCTGGTCTATCTCGTATCCATTTGCTCACACCACACTGAATTCCTACCTAACGAAAAGTAAAATGAATAATTAGCCCAGGACTCAAACTCCTGCATAATGAATGTGTTACCATTCCAAGCATTTTAATGCAAGGCTGGAGTCACAAAAAATCAGTGAACTCTCTAAGGGCAAGAAAACAAACTAAACCAAAAGGGAAAAAATATATTAAAAACTTGAAATCAGAGCTAGAGGCTGTGAGCAGTTTAAGAATAGGAAATCAGCAGCTGTCCCTTAAGGAAAATGCCAAAACCCAGCAATGGGAACAGAAGAATAATTACTGAAATCATTAGACAGTTTGAGAACTAAGCCTGAGACTCTTACCAGTTTCTTGGTAAGTAAACAAAAAGTCACTAGGACCCCAGGCTCAGGAAAGAAACAAAAGACGCCAAGCATGGGGGCACATGCCTGTGATTCTACATGGCTGAGGTAGGAGGTGCAAAGTTCAAGCCCGGCAGCAGGCAGCTTACCAAGAACCTGTCTGAAGATAAAAAATAAAAATGGCTGGGGATATAACTGGGTGTGAATGCTCTGGGTTTAGTGAATAAAAAGTTGTCTCTGAAAAAGAATCCAAAGTGAATCCTCACAATGCTTTTCCAGATTTCTTAAAAATACAACTTTAAAGTAATAATAATAAAAATAAAAAACAAAATGAATCGTCAAGTGAAAGCCACCAGAAAATAAAGAGCAAATTTAGACTGACATGAATTCACAACATGGAAATCGCCAGACATAGAGTATAAAATACCAATGTGTCAAAGTCACATGAACTTTGATTACTGATGTCCTAAAAACACGAACAGTAAGAAACTATTAAGATGGATTAGGTAGGTTTAAAAGAATCAAATAGAACTTTTAAAAAAGTAAAAAATTAAAATACATTTTTTTCATTTTTCTAATATTTTTATATCAAATGTTGAACACTTTATACTCTAAATTAAATCAGCATTAAACCATTAAATTACAAACTCTATAAAAAGCCTTTTCTTCAATAAGGAATGTTTTTTCACCAGTTCTACATTCCATTCTTTAAAAACAGTGTGCTAGAACTTAAAATTTCATTTAACCAATGATAAATTCACAAAATGCAAAGATTACTATGAAACAAAATTTAGAAGAAAAATAATGAATGAGACACAAAAGGGAAAAGATACCTCAGAAAGAACTTATATTCATGTCAGTAGTTTTAAAGTCATAATTTGCAGAACATTTAGGTATGATCATGTTGAATTTCTGGTTATACAAGCAATACAGCAGATCAAAACTCTGAAATACCATTTGTAAATAGTTTTAATGTATTGATGTACCAGTACTTCATCATTCAAATTTAATTCTTGATTAATTCTTGTTAATGAGAAATGCTGTATGTGTTCTTTCTTTTAAAAAAAATCAATTCTTTTACCATGCTATGAACAAAAATTAAGTGCTAAGGACATTTTCTATTATTATTATATGCAGGATTATGAGATAGCATTTAAAAATTATTTTCCAATTGATATATTCCATTTAGAATTAAACCTTGGAGAGCTGATGTATGAGACTAAAATAGAACAGAATACCATGAGGAAAATGTCAGGAAAAAATTTTTTTGAAAGTGTGTAACATAGATGACCATATCACTAAATTTTTATTGGATCACTGAACAGAATGGTTTGCACTGTCAATGTTTGAGTGTCTATCCACTTTTTATGCTTATTTTGTAAGCTGAACAACTGTTTCTAAGATGACAACATGTAATGGATCAACTAACAATTTCTTAGTTAATTTTTTGAATTCTGCATTATTCTACCTTTTTTCTATTGTTTTTTCTTTTTTAAATAAATAAAAATAAAACAAAATACATTTAATAGCCGACATATGGAGAAACTGGAGAACTGGAATGTGCGTGTGAAGAATTTGGGCAGCACGCAGCTTGGGGATACAAGGATGGAGAGTGTGAAGGAGGCGGGGTAAAGCGCCATGTGTGTAACTAGGTCTCAGATAGGGACGATGAGGTAATGTCTGATAACTTTTCAGTGACGACAAAGATATGACTCATACATACAGGAAGCATCCTGTAAACCAAGCAGGATAAAGAAAGGGTACCACATTCAGATGAGCTGGCATGAAACTGAACACCAACTCAAATCGCACTGTCAAGGAGGCCAGAGATGTCCTGCGCACAGAAGGACACCATATTGATATTGAGTTTTTAACAGCGGAGGCCATAAATCCACAAGGTAATCAGGTATTTCATTAACTTTAAGATGCTATCAACTCTAAATCAGACCATTATTTCAAATAATACCAACAAAGCAAAATACTGTGCTAATTAAGCTATGACAGACACAATAAAGTCCAGGACATAAGAAGGAGAGGTATGTTGTAAGCAATTGATTTGCACAATGGTATAGCTACAAAATAATGAAAATTTCTAATTTATGAGTTTTTGAAAAACAAATTAGAATGTTTGTCCACAATAGCATAGAAATTAGGAATGTGCTGATAAGAATTACAATGTTCTAAAGTCTCTTACTAAAGAAGGAGTACAGGGCCGGGGATTTAGCTCAGTGGCACAAGCACCTGCCTGGCAAGTGTGAGGTTGTGAGTTTGATTCCCAGTACCCCCTCCAAAAAAGAAGGGGTAATAAAACCAGATAATGTTAGATTCTACTGAGTATGCATTAAAAAAAGTTCAGGAGTGAACAGAAGAAAAATACTATGCAAGATTTCCAAACTAGTTGTCATGATTTATGTCGGTGGCCCTCAGGCCTCATGTGCGTGCATTGTGCATTTATGATAGGTTCACTGTCTAGCCCTTGGATTGATCGTGTCGGGGCTACGCCTACCTAGGGGTGGAGCCAGCATGCAATGTAATGGCTGGAAGAAGGCTCGTCTCTCTGTCTTGCCAGTTTTCCTCCTTGCTGTTTGCAGCCCCCATGAGCTGCAGCCCTGCCACGCTGCCCTGCCTTGGAGCCACCTGAGTATGGACCGAAACTTCCAAAAACTGTAAGAAATAAACCTTTCCTTTCCCAACTTTGGACATCAGGTATTTTGTCTCAGCGATGAGTAAAAAGTAAGGAAGATACATAGGGAGAAACACAAAAGGAAAACGATCAGCTCGTCAGAAAGTGAGAAAAAACACGGGAGAGACAAATGCCACCAAATAATGATAGAATCATGTTTTAGAGGTGGTAAGTACAAATAGAATGAACTTGTCTACAAAAGAAGAAATATCACATAAAACTGCCAAAAGTTTATCTGGCTTCTGAGAACTGAAGCTGAAACAAACACAGAAAGATAGGAGGTAAAAGAACTGAGAAAACATGTACTAACCAAAACAAGGACAGCCCTGGGTATCGCACGAAACAGACTTGACGGCAAAACACATCAACTATAAGGCCGTTGCTGCCTAATACGAAGGGTGCGACTTACCAAGATGACATAACCGTTCTAAACTTTATTGACAATAAAATGCATGAAGAATTAATATAACAAGAGAAACTGATAAGTCTCCCATTACAGTGAAAGAACTCAAAACATCTTTTTAATTATTGATATGAGGGGCAGATAAAAGTTAGTAAACAGATAAAAGATGTGAACACAATTAACAAGCTTGACTTAAGGGTCTCATCCAGAAAACAATGACAAAATAAACCTTAAACACACGTGGAACACTTCAAAAACCAACCGTATCTGGATATAAAACGAGTTTCAAAAAACTCTAATGGGTAATAATAAAAAGTTTACATTTGTATTACTTTTTCAGGGCTGCTGTAAAACATTCAAAAACTTTGTAGCTTTAAAACAACAGAAATTTATTCTTTCCTAGTTCATATTCACTGGAGACCAGAAGTCTAAAAGCCAGTTACTATTATTCTGCCTTAAACTTTTCTCATTTCTGAGACAAAACACCCGACACCTGAAGTGAAAGGAGGAAAGGTTTGTTGCAGCTCGGTCTGCAGAGGTCTGCAGAGGTTTCCGTTCATCGCCGGCTGGCTCTAGGGGAGGGGGGCCTGCCAGAGGGGAATCGGCACACGGCAGGTACAAGGCAGAAGGGCAGCAAAAGCAAAGCAACAGTTGCAAACCTCTTTCTTCTCCTGTTCCATTTGGGTTAGCAGCAGGTGGGTAGTCCTGATGACCCGGGTGAGGGACCCTTCATCCTGCCTGTAACTATGCCAAACTCTCAGCGCGCTGATTCAGTAATCACACACCCTTGATCCCAGCATCACACACTCCAGATCCAGCTGCCTCTGAAAAGCCCCCACCTATGACTGCACAGGGGTGCATCTAGACACAAGCCATACTATATTCCAAAATTAGGCTTTTGGCAGGGTCCTTTATCTCCCCTAATTTTTAGGGGACAATCTGTCCCTTGCCTCCTCCAATTTCTGATGACCACTGGTTTGCTGGCTTGTGGCCACATTACTTGTGCTGCCATGGTCAGAGGCTTCTCTTCTTCAGGTTGTAATCACTGTTTCTTATTAATGATACCTCCCCAGAGTAAGTAACTCATACATATTTGGCAATTTGGGTACACAACTGCACAGTACCTTACATCTTCAGCAAGAAAACCACTGAAGAGCAAAGACCGGACACAACTAACTAGGAACTAGGAATCTGCTCCAAGAAAAATGTTTCTCGGAGGTAAAGGCACTCTAGGTCTGTTGAGAAAACCTTCCTTCAGGATGCTTTTTTGTTTTTAAGCAGGGCCTAGAGCACTTAAGTCACTAATAAATGGTTTAAAGTACCCTACTGCAAGTTATATTCTAGTTCTAAATTGCCTGCATTATGGCCTCCGTTTCAAGCATTAAAAATACTTTCACTCAACACTATTGTTATAGCATTTTTATTAGGACCGATCCCACCAAAAGCTATAGGTTACCAACCTGAGTAGCACCCGTGATAACTCGTGCCGTTACAGAAGCAGCCTGGGTTACATAAGTGAGCAGCGCGGGAGCAGCAGAAACAAAGGCGGCCGGGGGTTCATCTCCTAGTTCTAGGCTTCAGTGGCACTGTAGGAAGCTGCCAGTTTCTGTGCACATTTTAGCCCATTTACCTCTGTAATTCACTCACACCTTACATTAAAATTGAGGAGAAATAATACATACTATAAGAAAGCATATATTTTCGTAGGCTTCACATGTGAGAAGTTAACTTTTTTTTTCACACACCAAAAATTTTTTTTGATGTAGGGTCTTGCTTTTTTGAGCTAGGCTTTTTAAACTTACTTTATAACTTAGGTTGGCCTCAAACTCATGGCAATCCTCTTGCCTCAGCTTCCCAAGTGCTGGGGTTATAGGCATGCACCACTATGTCTAGCTAGCCACAAATACTTTTGTCACTAGCTAATTTTGAGAAAGAGTTCCATATAAATGTACAAACTGATAATATATTTAGAAAACCTTACAGATTTATGCAAATTGCAGCTTGTCTGCCCATAAGTGAATTAATGAATCCCCATTCCCTCAGTGTTAAAAAAAAAAATACCTAAGTCATTACATTTTGTAATATATTTCTGAGAAAATATAACAATCATTAGCATCTTGGACCAGAGGAAAACTGTTGAATTTTACGCCTGTCTCTTGACATTCTGACATGTTATAATTACGTGTCTTTCTACAAAGCTGTTCTTGGTAGTTCTTCTTCTACATCTATTTGATATCAGCATTTATATTACACTTCAAAATTTCTCCAGGTGGCATTAGACGATGTCAGAAATGCTAAGAGCAACTTCTGTTTCTTCCCCATGCCAGGTCTCTACAGAAATGAAAACCACAGGTTCTAGGGACAGGTGGAGCACTTTGCAGGGCAGAAGCATCTGGCCAAGTTTCTCAGCGCAGGTATCAGTGCTTAGTTCTTCTTGTTCTTTTTCAGACCATGAGCTCGTGTAGCCAGGTTTATCCTCATGAGCACTTTAAAGTAAATCCAGGAAGGAAACACTGAGATGAGAAAGGCCTAGGGAAAGAATCGGGGAAGATGTGATAGCCTTCAAGGTGCGGTCGATTAAAGCCTCTGATCTTATGTGTTACTACACAGCTACTTGATTTCAAGCACAATTTCAGAGCTCTTGGGTGTATAGTTCAAAATAAAACATAGGTTCGGTAAGCCTAGACAGCTGGTCAGCATGTACAATAAATTATTCGTGACTCAATGGAACGAAAATCTCGAACTGGAAGGTTTGATTTGGGACTTAGAAATCTACATACCATAAGAGAATGGACCAGGTATCCACAGGTACGAGTCGTCCGGCCTACTGTATTCAGTGCGTACTTCACAAACGTGTCTGGAGAGGGTTTATCCAGAGTTGGCCTTCGGATTTTAGCCAGTTTTGTGGCAACAAAGTATGGCAGGACACTCTAGAAAGATGACACCCCCACCCCCAGACATGCCAGTGATTAGGAAGGTCACAAACTCAGAGTAAACAGCTTGACTGCTGACAGAGTAAACAGAGTAAAGATTTGACTGACTGCTGGTCAGGTAGAAACAGCCTAATGAAACCTGAAGTTTGTATCTTAGAGGAGAGAACAGAAGCAGCTAGCCAAAGCCATCTTGGTACGACACATAGTAGCATCAAACAAATTGGGACTAAGTCAGTTTTATCAAGTAAGCAGAATTTGAGACTAAAAAAAAAAAGTTAAAAATAAGCAGAAATGTAGCTTTTTGAACCTTTAAAAAGAAAATACTCTACTGTGATCCAAACAACAGAGGTTCAAGACAGGACATTCTTCCCCGCCTATGTAGATCATGGTTACAGAGTATGAAATCTTTGTCATTTTACCTTTGTGAAGATATTCATTAGCTCTATAATTTATGGTTACTTAAGCTTGTTTTATCACCATTAGTCCTTTCAAAATAGACATTTCATTTTCTCAGCTCCAGGTTACCACTTTCCTTAGTTTCTAATCATTCTGAGTTTCATAAACTTTGCTATTCATAGAACAGGACCACCTCTTTTTGTTCTGTTTTGAGAAAAGACAGCACAACAATATCAAAACTGAGAAACTAAGACACCTGCTAGGTTGCGTCTTAAAAGGACCTGATAGAGCAGTTTCGCAAATGTTAAGTCCTTCCTGGCTAATTCTTGCTATATTCAGGACGTGAGTCAACACAGAATCTAAGGAAATCCTGTCACAGGTCCCCAGTCGTGATAAAAGAGATTCTTCCTACAATTGTGACACCTCGGGTATGGTAGTTTACCAGTGCATGGACATGTTCTGTGCATCTCACCAGTGTGGAAGGTAAGGGTATGAACTATGATGATGCATGTGTGAAAGAAGGTTTGCTCCAGCACACAGTGCTCAAAACAGAAACCTTCCAAGTAGAAGTCAAATTGAGATCTGCTTCATGCTATGGGTTTCCTTCTTGCTGATGCCTGAAGGAATAGATTTATGACACTTTGGGCTTTTGTGTATATGAGTATACTCTGGTAATTTTGTAGTTTTCCCACTTTCAATTAGTAGTCAAGGATTTTAACCTGCCACCCCTTAACACATAAGCTGAAACTCCAGCCCAGTTCAGAGCCACTGAACTGAGCCACAAGGGTCTGACCATCGTCACCTCTGTCTTTCCCTCTTTTGATCCCTGTAGCCACAAACCCACACTAAGGAAACTAACTTCCCCAAAGCACTTCAATATGTGGGCCAATTTTGGTTACATAACTTCCGGCTTTTCTGAGTTTGTTTATTGGGATGGCCACTATATATTTATCCCTCACTTAATGAACAAAAATTTTTTTGATTAAAAGTCTAATTTTACTTATTTTGCTGCAAGGATATGAGTGCACAGACCAAAGAAATATTTCAGACTGATATTAATATGAAAATGAGTAGGTCAAGTTTATCCATCAAACAAAGCTGAGAAGCGAACGGGACAAAGCAGAATATATATGCATACTCTGATCTCAAATAACAAGGGAACAGAAGTAAATCGTCTCTAGAAGTTTACAGGTTACAAAAGCCTAGATTAAAAAAAAAAAATCCCACATGTAGATTAGAAGCCTGCTACAAGTATTATAATGTTTTGAACTTCTCAAGATAAATATGGTCTGGTAATTATGCCTTTCAATTACAAGTCCTTATTCCTTTCTGCCAGCCTCCCGTCTTCCATCCCATCTGAATAAAAGCCATAAGCTGGGCTAGTTTGATCTTGCAGAAATTGCCATGCCTGACTGAACCACTTGATGGTGCCACAAGCCAATTTATTCCTCCACCCCAACAGTGACGACACTGGAGAATCCCCTGGGTCTGGGTCTGGAGACAAGAGACACAAGCAGGGGCTCCAAGTACAGTTGTCCTTTCCCCAAGCAGGAAATGTAAAGTGTATTTGGAAAGGGAATTTCCTTCTGTCCATCATGGGTTTCCACATGGCCTGGGAGACCAGAGGGATTCAGACATGAAACAGCTTTTGAGCTAAGCCCTAAAGGCGGTGGAGGAGTTTGCTGGGTAAATAAGAACAGGAACAGCAGGAGCTAAGAAGGGGAGACATAACAGAACGTGGTTTTCCGGGAACTGCAGGAAGTTCAGTGTGGCTCAAACACTGGAAACGTGTGAAGCAGTGGTAGGAACGAGGTGAAAAGTAAAGAAACTAAATCCAATCCCTGAGTGGCATCAGATTTTAGAAAAAGAGCTCCATAAAGACATGGGCTTATTCACCACTCATCCTCCACTCTGGGAACAGCACCGGTGCGCATGCAGCAGGAGCACTGTGCGTATTTACTGAAAGAATCAGCAAAACAGCACTCCACCTAGTCAGCAACGAACAGCAGTACTGGGGCCTTCCACTGTCGCCATCAGGAAAATTACACACACCAGGAAGTTGGTAATATGGGCGTTTAAGCCGAAAATTTAGATATTCTCAAGCTTAACTGGGATCATTTATCTAAACCAGGTCAAATGCGTCAGTTTAGCAACTTGCCACAAAGATGTAAAAATATTAAAAGCTATGGAAAAGTAAAGAGGCATCTTCTGTCATCTAGGTACACCCTTAAACGGTTAATTAAAAGCCAAAGAAACAATAATTAATTCTTTTCTCTGCTTATTCAGGAAAACATCATAGGAATCAGGTCAAGAAAACACTCGTCCTTTTGCAGGAAATATTTTGGACAGAACGAATTTTAAAGTTCTTTAAGCTCAACAAGTTGCCATTACCAATAGAAGCCTGACCTTGACAGCTAGAGAGGTAGGCAAATTTTCTGGTTTCCCAATATAGAATCCTGAAGTGAAAATAATTGGTTAGGCCATAAAGGAAAATGCTGTCTGATGCTTTGTCCTTGCTTAGCCTATTAAAAAAGTCCCTGGAGTCAACTTTGTAGCTTTTTTCTTCTCACTCACTGGCCTAGACTGCTTAGGTATCTGTCTTCTCAAACCAGCCGAGAGGGTCTTGGTTCAGAACAAAAAGGCTACTACAACTGAATGCCGTAGGCCAGTGGAAAGAAAGATGTTCAGAGCTGCATGACAAATATTCAAGAACCAAACGCAGAACCTTGGAACGTCGTCCAGTACAGCATTTTTCATATATAGTAACTGTGCACTAAATATACCTTCCTAAATTTAAAAGTGATCAGAAGAATCCGTGACGAGGCTTTCCAGCCTCATACAACTTGGGGTTCTAGAGATGGTGTCTCACCCATCTTTTTTGAGCAGTGTAGCCAGCAGAGATCCTTAGGGCAGAGACTGGGGCTCCTCTGCCAGGCACAGCAGAAAACTGTGCTTTTAAAAACCTTTGTATCACCCTCCCATTTCAGGAGCTGAAGTCCTCCAGAAAATCTGAGTGGTTATACACATGTGTGCTGGTTCTGGAATTTGTAATACTCGACTTGCAGACCATGAAATGAACTTTTCCACAAAAGTCCCCTTGATTATTTTGTGAATAGAAAATGTTAGAAAAAGAATAGTTCTGATGGTACAGAGATCTCTGCTGTGCGGCATAGAAGACACGGCTCCTTGATGATAATACATGGAAGATTTAGCCCTAAGCCCAAAATGAAAGTGTGCAAAATACTGTGCTCTGAACAAAGGAAACTCTTGACAGATTCTGCTAATGAGCCTACAAATGCATCAGTCAAGAACAAAAGGAAAAACTGTGATCATACAAAAAGCATGCACTATTATTATTAATAATTTCATCTTTTTTTTTTTTTTTTACTTTTTAAAATTTTTATCGGTACCAGGGATTGAACTCATGACTGCCTGCCTGCAAGGCAGGCACTTATGCTGCTGAGCTAAATCCCCAGCCCCCATCATCATTATTATTAATAAATTATTTCCTGAGTACATATTAGAACACGCTTTAGCACTAGGAATACAGTTCTGCAGCAAAACAAAGAGCTCCTCCTTTTATAGCGTTCATATTTTAGTAGAGGGACCCAGATCAAAAATGAGTAATAAAAAGTGTGTATATAATACTACAGGCAGTAATGAAAAGGAAGAAACCTAAACCTGGGTAAAGGAATCAGTGGTGGAAGTGGTGGATGATCTGAGAGAAGGGAGAAGCCAGCCAACAGGGACAATGGGGGTGGGGATGTCTTTGAGACTGGGGGGAGCCATGCAGAGGCCGTGGGGCAAGCACACATGTGCTCTGGGTGTTCCAGGAACTACAAGGGGGCCAGACAGGCAGGAGCGAGGGCAAGATCTTGTGGAAGTTTGAAATCCAGACATTGTGGGTCCTAAGAACCATGATTTTATTTACTCTGAAGATGAGAAGCCCCTGGGTAAATTTTATTTTATTTATTTACTTTTTTTTTTTGTACCAGGGATTGAACTCATGACTGCGTGCTTGCAAGGCGGGTGCTTTTGCTGCTGAACTGAATCCCCAGCCCCCATGGGTAAATTTTAAGCACAGGAGGGAAATGCCTCAATTTTGCTACGGTGAGCAGACTGCAGGGGCCTCAGGCTGGGACAGGCGTGGGGAGGCCAGGCAGGCAGGCAGGTGTTGGGCTGTCCTGGGTGAGATAATGGTGGCTCAGGTTAGAGCGGCGGCAGAAAGGCTCAGAGCCCAGATGTGGTTCAGGGCTGAATTTGGCAGGGCTTCCTGACAGGCTGTGTGCAGGATGTGAGACAGGGGCAGCAGGGCATGTGATCAGTGCTGGCTGAAATCAAACCAACGTGCATTCAAATTCCAGCTTCAACACTACTAGCGATGGGGTCTTGCGCAGCACTGAATTCCCATGTAACTGGAGAACACAGCACCTGGTTTACCGTATCAGATGTAACACTGTCAGTTAAAGCACATGAGATATAAGTTCCACCAACTATTTTTAAAACTTTCTAATATTTATATTTTTAAGGGTCAACATGGAAAGAATGTGGCCAAATCTTTCTATCCCATAAAAGGAGTGCAAACACTATTTTCCAGAGAC